AAGTCTAGAGGTACTGCATGATAACTGAAAAACAGCTTCTAGTGAAATAGACAGGTATTTTCCCTTTGGGAAGAATTCATTGTTCTCAGATTCCCAGTTCTCTCCTGCATCTTCAGCATGGAAGTTGTGTCAAGGAGTAACCTTGGCAAGATTTCATTGAGCCCATGGGAATAACATGTAGATTTTACAGAACAAGGTAATACTGGAGGTGAGTTGAGATAGGATCCTCTCTCAAGAGGAGCTTCTCAAGCCTTCCAGGAATTGCCTGAGTTGCTGGAATAGGACACACTCATGCAGGCAAGGAGCAGTTGTGTTAGGAATGTTATCTCTGATCAGACACTTATTATTTCAGGAGGTAAGCTCTGTCAAAGCTGAGATAAATTAAGGGCTCTGGCAGCTTTCATGCAGCAGCTAAGCAGCCTGTCCTGTTAAGAAAAACAGCTCCCTTCAGATGATCTATGTAATGTTCATGGCCCACTGACTCTTCCAAATTAAAGAGTCAGATTTTAAAATGTGTCCTATTTTGGATGTTGTTTGTAGATTTTTAGCTGATCAGTTGGTTGTTCAAGAAGCTACACTTGGCTTTGAGGTAGCTCCCCTCTCTGGGTAGTAACACAGCTTTTCTTCCTGGCTGATGCAGCCATGGCAGCCTTTTTCCTCACTTGGGAATGATTGCTGACTTTTGTCCCTGTGGGCCCAGAGGCAAGGACCAAGTGGAAGGTCAGGTGCTGGCTGGGCACTCTGAACAGTCTGGGGAATACAGTGTGTTGATTAAAGAGAGGCAGCTTTCCCCTCCACAGGGACTTCAGGTCTACAAGAACTGCATTGGAACAGACTTTGCCCATGCATTTAGCACCTTATATATATGAGGGAGAAATGAGAGCAGGCAGCAAGCTTCAGAATTCCTCAGTCTTATTTATATTTTTATTGTAGTGTCTTTATGGGTTTTTAATTGTAGCATCAAATTAGTTGGTGTGAACTTTGGAGTATAAAATGGGGGAATTGTCCATCATCTGGACACTTCAGTGATGCCTGTATCTCACATTTACTTTCATCCCTTGTATAAGTTTGTGAAGTGCAGTGCTTTTCCTTCTGATAGTTGATGGCTTCGTGGTGCATGGCTATCAGTAGCATTTCTCTTGTTTCATATTTGTTAATAAGTTGGACAGTGGCTTTGCAGACAGCCATATCTGCTAAATGCATGGCATCTTGTAGAAACAGACATCTTTTAGAAACAAAACTAGTATATGAAGTAAACTAAATAATCTGTGTAGTCCAAATTCCTAGAAATCCCATGCTTAAACTGGTAGTGGAGTTTCTGTATCATATTCTCTGATGCAGAGCTGTTTTCTTGGCAGACTGGAGAGATGTGACCACTTTTGCATCTCAACTATATGGATATATAAATTAATAAGAGAAGGTGCTGGGAATGCCCTTTCTACCTTGAGATTTTGAGGCAGGGAGTGCTTGTCAAGCTCACAGGACATCTTGGCTTGGCCACATTTTTTTGCATTAAAGTTCAGGTTGATTTTCTGTCTTTTAAGATTTTTTAACACAGTTGCATTGTGTCACTCCCACTTACAGGATTTGCTGTGACAGGATTTGTTTCATTCTCTGTGTCCCAGTTACACTGGGTCTTTGTGATGAGAAGGGCAGTGATGCTTTGTGTTTTGAAAAACTTTCCTGAAGGATCATATATGTTCATGAAATGCATGTAAAAAGATGTCAGCTTGATTTTTGAGTCCTTCTCTACCTAGCAGTGATTGCTGCCAGTCTTTCTCCCCACACTAGATATTGGAATACTGAAACAGCCTTTTTTTAAAGAACTCTACTCCATTTAATTTAATTATATGGCAATTGTTTGTTTGTTTGGGTTTGGTTGTTTTGGTTTTTTGTTGGTTTTTTTCTTTGAAAAGGCTGACAAAAAGCCCCTAAGATGGTTAGAAAACAAAAAGAGTGAAATAATATCAGACAGATAAAAGTTCTTGTTCTTTGGTTTTCGGAATTCTTTTTATTGTGAACTTTGTAGCTATGTCAGGGTTTGCATCAGAAGATAGTAAGTTAAAAACAGCTTGTGGAAAGACATTCCTGTTAAAGTAGCTGAGCCTTGCTGATGACTCCATGTGTATAAAACGTTCTGAGTAGTACAAAACCTTCTTTTTTAAATCATTATTTTAATATATTCCTTGTTTGTTTTCCCTGACCTTGGTGTTACTATGTTACCCAGAGTCCTGTTTTTTTCTACTGTCAGCCAAAGGGGCAGAGCAAAATTCGAGGTCAGTTCCCCTGGTACTGTGAACTCAGGGCTGGGTAATGTAACATGGATTGCAAAAATAGATTTGGCTGAGTAGGTATCACCAGAGAGAGAGAGAGAATGAAAAATAGTGAATCCCAGTGAAAAAGGCAGTTCAGTTCCACTAAACTTTGCAAACCAAAACACAACAGAAGGCTTAACAGCAGGAAATGGTGGAGACCACAGTATCCCTGGAAATGCAAGGCAGTGTTGCCACCTGACCAAGCTTATTTGTTTGTACCATGAAGAAGCTCTGGAGTTCCAGCTAAAGGCATGGCAGCCACTTGCCCATGTCATGGAAGGGTTAAATCATGCTAAGGAAGAGAGAAAAACGCTTCTGGCGGTTGTCTTCAAGATTTTATCTCAGAGGAGTGGGATAGGAAATAGATGCCAGGAATTATGTAAAGACCTGTGTAATTTTGTGTGAAATATGAAGGTGGTACTGAGTAATTGTCCTGGAAAAAAACCAAAAACTGTTGGGAATAAAGTGAGAAACTACAGAGGATGAAGAAAGGAAGCAAAAGCTGTCTTGGAAGTTAAAATGTGCGAGGATAAAGTAAAGGTTGCCAAAGCTCATGCTGGGTTAGACTTTGCAAAGGAGAGCAAAGCAAAGAGCTCTGTTTTGTAGGCATGTAGGTAAAAGCAAGGTAAGGAAAAACAGAAGTGTGTTCATAGTGAAGATGGAGCTGACATAAAATGCAATTTTGTATATAGTAAATCCAGATGGACATGGGAGCAAAAGAGACAGTGGGAAGAGCAGGATTGGGAAATGAGGACTAATACAATGAAGCAAATAGTCTTTGTCTCAGAAGAGTGGGAGAAATGTAAAATGAAATTGTGAGCTTTGTGGTAACAATTTGTGATTAAATCAAGCTGTCCTAATGTACTTTGACTGTCTCATTCAGGAAATACTATGGACCACTGGGTAACAGAAGTATGTCCTGCAGATAAACTAAAAAGAAAACAAAACAAATAAACTTTAAAAGGTGATCTGAACATGTACATATCAGTTAAACAGTAGGTGTAGCATCTTTTAAGGAGTAACTAAAACCTGCTAGTTCTGCAAGGGAAGTCCTTTGACCTCATGCAGGTAAGTGCTATAAAATGTGGCATGGGTTCACCAGAGACTGTTCTAGACTGGCTTGACAGCTTTTATTGACAACTGATACCTCCCATGAGGGAAATTGTAGTGCATTTGAACAGTCTGGACTTGAGCAAAGCACAGGAATGCTGACACATGGAAATAATTATTGGAACTGGATAAAACAGGGGAGTAGTACATGAAGTGTGAGTAGCTAAGAAGTTGGGCTAAATTAGAGATGAGAGGTTTTATTAAAGGAGGAAATAAGGGGGTTGGATGTCACCTACAAACTATGCAGTGTCCCAAAAAGTGATAAGGGGTCTGATTTTTGTAATACTGTCATTAAAGTTACCAGCCAAAAAAAAAAAAAAAGACCAAGGAAAACATCTGCTAATGAAATTCAGGGCTGAATCAACGTTTCAAAGCCTCATCAATGCAGAGGAGGACAAGCATATCATCCACTAAGAACTGCAAAATGTTGCCAACTGTAAGATTAAACTTAGGAATGTAATAGTGGAAAGTACCAGGTCATGTACTAAGAAAATGTTGAGAATTTTGGCTACCAACAAAGTGCTTATCAGTTGAAAGCAAAGGAGGAAGATCTAAATATCATAAAAGCCACCAGTATTATGTGACATATAAATAGGCAGGTGTGTTCTCAGCATGTATCAGATGAGAGATTTGTGGCAGGGTTGTGTGTTACATTGATAAGGCCTCATCTGGAAAGCCACGTTCACTTTTAATCACCCAGGTTCTGGAAAGATTAATCCAAACTGGGACAGGTGCAGAGACCTAGGGGATGATCAGAGAGCACTGAAGAGCTTATCTTCAGTGAGAAGGCATGGCTTGTTTAACAAAGCAAAACAAAGGCATGGAAATATGGGTAAGGGGTCAACAGTGGCGTGGTGTACAAGCTAAAATATTGCAAATTAAAAAATAAGTGGATGAAAGCAGGATAGAATAAAATTCATTGAGTGCTACTGTGAATTAAGCTTCTCAATACTTTTCTACAACTGTCTGGTTCACATATCCTTGCAATTCTGGGGGACTTCTGGGATTTTTACTTGCAAATGTCTCTCTGAGATTTGTCCCTGTGATTCATTTCATTACAACTTCTGATTGAAAAGTAAATCAAGTCTATTAAAAGTTTTAAAATTTGGCTTTTTTTATTCCTTCCCTCATCTTTAAGTAGTAACAATATTGCCTTGCTCAACAATATTGCCATGTAACTCTGTACATTTCCCTTGGCTGGTGCCAGTTTTAACATGCAGCAGGGTTGCCCTGTAGCATTCCTTCTGTGTCTCAGATAATACATCCAGCCTTGTGCCCAGGCCTTCCCCACACAGACTTCATTGCATCTCTAGTTTTTGCAGCTAAAATGGCCCTATTTCCTCTCTCAACTAGGACATTTAACATTCTTTTTAGCATCTATTAGCCAAAACCACTAAGATTCCCTTTTGCAGTCTGGCCTCCCAGTAGTGACGAACAGGATAATGACGTAAGGTATTCTCTCGCTTTATTTACCTCCCTCTGCCTCGTGCCCCTGTTCTCCCAGTTGCTCAGTTCTCTCAAAACTGTGACTTTCTGACTGTTGCATTTGTTGTTTATTGCCTGGCTTGTCCTCAGGTCCCAGTGTGAACGGGCTGGAGGAGCCCAGCCTGGCCAAGCGGCTGCGGGGCACTCCGGAGCGCATCGAGCTGGAGAACTACCGGCTGTCCCTGCAGCGCGAGGAGGAGCTGGAGGAGGTGCCCGAGGAGACCCTGGCAGAGCACAACCTGAGCAGCGTGCTGGACAAAGGGACAGAAGAGGATGTGCCCAGCAGGTCAGCACACATTGCCCAGCAGCTTTTTCTGCACCATCCCAGCTGGCTTTGCCTGCCCTTCCTTTTTCTTTAACTGTGTACCACGTTGTGCTTTCTAAAGCTTTTGAGACACACAGACTTTTCATCTTGTGGTTTCTGTTCTCAATAACTCACTACTATCAGAAGACACCTCTAGCACTGTAATACCATGAGATTAATACCATGAGATTAAGTTCCAAAATGGGAAGGGATTTTTAAATTTAATTTTTCAATTGTATCAAAGGTAAGTGAGTCTTCTGAGCAAACAGAACATGCATTCAAATGGAAGGGGGTTCCAAAGTTATATACCTTCTTTTATACACCTTCTTTTATATACCTATATAAAGTTATATACCTTCTTTTCTGTATGCTTTGCATTACAATTCAAAACCATGTTTGGTTTCAAGATTTAGGCTTGGCACACATGTAATCCTGACTGAATGCTGGTGCAATACCCGAGAGGTATTGATGGAAGCAATAGCTGTGGCTGTTGAAAAATGTGTTGTACCTTCACAGTAATAAAATGAAGGTGTATAATTGTATTGTACCTTCACGATAACAAAATGAAGGTGTATAAATGTGTTGCACCTTCATGAATTTCTCTTTATATGCAAAATTATGTGCAAGCACACCAGGATCCACATCCATGCAGGCAGAGCTAGTGGAAACAATTTTTACAAGAATCACTGAGAGGAAATCCTTGAGGAAGTATGCTCATGAACTTTATAGTCAATCACACATTTTTGCAGAGTCTTGGTCTCTTAACACAATTTCTCATCTACTTGTCTTTGTAGCAATAGCAGCCCTTACCTTTTCATCTCTGAGTCTGTCCAGTAGACTTGAAATAAACTCAGAAAATGCTATTGTTTGCTTCCTGAAACTTAGATCCTACAGTCATGTTCTATGTATGAATTGCCTGCAGATATAGGTCTGTATGAGAAATTCAATAATCTTGGCCTATTTTTGGGAGATTCAAACTGTATTTTCTTAACTCATCCTTCCTTTAGTTACCTGCTTAGGTTTAGGAATTGCATCAACTATGACAAAATAAGCATTGATGATCTCAGGGGTTTTACTCCGTTATATTTCTACCTCTAAAACAAAAGTGTAGAGCTATTGACTGTTGTTACTCTTTGTCTTGATTTCACTAAATCAGGACACAATAGGCCTGTTCAATAAATGGCAGAAAACTTACAAAGGCCAATAATTAGTTTAAAAAAGTGGAGTTTTGGCATTTTGGTATGAAGCTGATGGTCACTGCCAAGAGGTGTTTTGTGAGATTCTGAAGCTTGAGGGTGGAACACTATTAGGTTAGCAAATTTGGTTTTTGTCTTGTTACAGTTCCTTTTGTCCTACATTCATCCCTATAACTTGTTATCAGCATGAGAATTTCTGTCTGTAGTAGACTGCATTGTATAATTTTCCATGTGAGAAGCAGCATGGGCAATTCACATTCTGTCATAAGGAGAAAAGAGGAAATACATCAAATTCCCTGTCAGTTTGACCTGGAAAACTTTATATTCCAAATCTAAGTATGGCAAGCAGTTTACTCAGAAAATGGACAAGGCTGTGTGGGCCAAATATCAGAGAGAGCAGAGGGAGAATTTTCTAGGAGGTGTAGCTGTTGGGTATCCTCTCTTCAGCTGTATTCACTCCATGGATAGACTGCAAAGACATAAAAAAGGGGGGAGAAGTCTGACTACTTTTTCAGCAATAAAAAAAAAAAGTTTTTACTCCTGCAACAAGCCAACCAAGGCCCTGATTTAATCATCTTCACTGTCTTGGTGCAGTGCTGCAGGGCTAGGAGCAGGCAGAGGAGATGGGGAACTCTTTGTTCCCTCCATGTCTTACAAAGGATGGGTTGGGCTTTCAGGGTTCACTTAAGTGGCAGATAAAAATCAGCCAGAGACCTCACATTTTGGTGCACAGCTTCCCATCACGCACACACTGCAGAGAAAGTTAATGGGAAAGAGCATTCAAAGTATATTTTTTCAAAAGATAGTTAATCTTATTTAAGTTTCAATTAAAAAAAAAGATCAATTAAGCAACTAAAGCCAGACTACACAGTAGTGTGAGGTGTAGGAAACCATTTATATGCCTTATTGATTGCCTTTAAGTTGCAGTAGCCCCCAGTGTGCCATCTCCAGTTTTGGTGTCATGTCCTGTGGCCTTTCAAAGGAGTGTCATAGGACAGCTTGTGCTGTATAGGTCTGTATGGCAAGGGAAGAGATTCATTGCCACAGTTTGGGTTTCAGTTCCTCTCCTCAGCACTAAATCTGTACATACCTTTTTCTAATGAGATACTCAACTGCTTATGCAAATTCTATAGAGCAACCTGCCTTGGTCTTTGATTTCTGCTTTATAGAAAAATAAAATTTCAGCTATTGAGTGAATTCCTACAGCACAGGCTTTCCATGCTGAAAGGAATGCTCACTATACCAGGCCATCTCTCACTGCTGTCTTTCAGCTTCTCATTTCTCAGTATTCAAAGGTCAAACAAAAGCCAAGTGATAAATAAAACCCAAAGAAGGTGAAGTGAGCTGTGTGGTGAAGAATTTGTGTCGTCACTCCTCCATGCGATAAGCTGGCTGGTGGAAGAGCAGCAGTTCATTCTGTTTAGCACCCGTGGCAACAATTTGAGCAGCAGTAAACCTTATTGACAGCACACCAAGCCCCCAGCATGCAGCACCTGTCAGGTTTATTTCCATACCAAAGGGTGGGAAAGTAAATCAGGGAGAAGGTGAACATCACATTTAACCCTGTGACAATATCTGCATAAAGCCTTTGGAATATGCTCTGGTCTTCATGCACCAAGCCCACAGCTTGCCAACAGTGTTTGTGTTCAGTATTTCACATGTGAAAATCAGGCAGCATGTTAAAAATAACTGTTGAGTTTATGCTTTGAAAAAGTGGCTTGTAATTTGAGCAAAATAATGTTATTTGTATGCAGACCAGTTAGAAGAATTTAAGAGCCTATGGACAGAAGTGTGTGACAATCAGAGCATGAACAAAGGGTTTTCCTTATTAGGTTTGCTATCAAAAATAGGCTCTCAGACTAGCAGATGAATAAAATTATGTAAATAAGGTAGTACAACTGTACAAGTTTTATTTCATAGACCCACATGAAGTATAACCTTCATTACTCTTTATTTGTTGGTTTTCCCTTTCATTGTCTTCGTGGAACGGGTTCTGCCAAAGCCAGTGGTCATGGGCATAAGGAAGCAGCAGAAATACTATTCTCAGATTATTCACCCAAACTTTAATTATTCACAAGTAGTTTTATCCTTCAGTCAGATGAATTGGGCCTTTTAAGATTTACAGGAGAAGTATCCAACAGTTGCTCTAATAAATGCAGTTCTGTCACGACAATGGTCTGTTCAGGTAAAACAAAGCTGGAGCACCTTTTGACCCTGCAGAGAGGATCTGTGAGTGTGTTGTAGTCCTCATTCATTTTCCAGTGACAAATGCAACCATCTTTCTCCTCAGTCCCTCCAGGTAGTCTGGCATGTAAGAGTGAGCTCGATTAAATGTCGCTGAATGAGTGGTTACATTTCCTGCCCCTGCTGCATATGCGGAGGAACTGTTAGAATTAAACAGAGGTGACTTCTAAAAGGCACTAATGATTTATTGCTTTGCATGGTTTAGACTTTGCTGTGGGAATAATAATCTCATTACTGTAATTATCTTTGCACTGCTTCCTACAGTTTCTTGCCAGCATGTACACTGTGTAGTTAATTGGATACATATTTCTGTCTGTGATGCAGAAAAGTGAGGAATTTTGGGGTTTTTTTCCTCCATCTCCTTAGTTCACATGCTGTATCCTTTGCCTGATGTGTTTTGTATTCTTTCTACTCCCAAAGACTGCTCTGGTTCACAGGAGCAAGTGCCAAAATTATCTTGGGTATCTCAGCAGTAGCTGCTGTATCAAAAGCCATGGCCTTCTACATTCTAATGCTGTGAGGAACTCCTGCACTGATTTATCAAGAGCAATGTGATATGAAGAAAATAGTTTCTTTCTGTTGTATTCAATTGTCTTGAACTGTAACAATAAATGCTGCACAAATATTTGGACTTGGCTTCAGAGGCACTTTTCTGCTGCCTCTCCTTCTTTAAAAGGAGGGCAAGGACCATACTGCAGCCTGCAGGTGATGCTGTCACTAAAAAGCCTATGAAACATTGGAAGCTGAAAATCAGTGTTATGTTTTAGGCTTATGTGTGTTGAAATGACTTGTTAGTGATCTAAGACTGATCAAGAAAGCATTGACTTCATAATCTTTAATGTTATTATTTATTATTAGCAATATAATCTTTTTTTTTCCTAAAATCTTACAGTAGTTCAGAATCTGAGATGGAGGAGGAAGATGAAGAGGAAGATGATGAACAGCAACCCCCTTCAGACCTGGGTGGTGTGCCATGGAAAGAGGCTGTGCGTATCCACGCCCTCCTGAAGGGAAAGAGTGAAGAAGAGATTGAGGCTGAGCAAAATCATGAGATTGAGTACAAATATGATGATGAGGAGGAAGAATACGAAGAGGAAGAAGATGAGGAGTCAAGTGAAGGTTAGCTTGGTTCATCCTTTGTTTCTGCCAGCCAGCAGGGAAAAAATGAGTTGAGTATTGGCCATACAGAATAAGAAAGATTTGCCTTGGAAAACTTTACTTCTTCTTTTGCTTCTTTGTTGCTCTGATTTTTGAGGGAGTTATTGTCAAGGAAAGCTCGAGGTGGTTCATTCTGGATGCTGAAGGACTTTGCCCACAGGACAGTTTAGAGTACCAGTACTCACACAATATGCTTCCCATACACCATGCCAGCATGTCAATTCACAGCCTTGTGCTGCTGTATTGGCTTATGGTTGGTTTTTATAGTTATTTGGAATTAGATTTGAATGTGCCCTTTGTTCTCTGACAGCAGGAACTGGAAGCATTGTGGTTGCAGTGTTTTCAGTTTTAGAGTGCCTCACTAAGGAGTAGTGCCCTGTCACTGTCAGCAGGGCATTGCACAAGAAGGTGCTTGTACCTCTCCCAAGTTAAAAGATGGCCTTGAGAAATAAGGGAGTTCAGGTAGTTCCCATTTTAGCTTTGAAAGATTTCTGTGGAAAACCTTAGGGAAAGACTCCTTCCCCTGTGTTTGTCTCAGTCATCAAAATGCAAAGTTTGTGCTCAGAATAGACATGTTTCCAGTGTTTCACCACCATGCCAAATTTCTCACTGCTCTTGTCTCTGTCTTTATACTCACATTTCCTTTTTGAGGAGACTTGTAGACTCCAAAGAGCTTTTTTGTAAAGGTCTTTGGCTGCCTACTGCCAGCAGAGGTCCAGTGTTGAGTCTTAGTGGCAGTGTTGTTGATGAGCTCAGCAGGCTCCTTGGCTACCTTCTCAACCTAGGAGCTGAATGTCCGTGAGTGCAGTCTGTGGAAACCAAAACTTCTTTATGAGTATGGCAACATGCATGTTGTGTGTTCAGCCTGCTGAGCAGTGGTGTTCTTGGATGGATGCTGTTTCATTCGAGCAGTTTTCCTGCCAGGCACTTGGAACACAGCGGGAGTACGGGGAGCTGCAGCGTTTCCAGGCAGTCTCTCTTTCTGATGCTGTCCTCTCTCTTTCTCTCTTTCCCTCTCTCCATGGCTTGTGTGTGTACACGTGTGCCTGGTGCTAAATGTGGATGTGTGCTTCCCTCTGCTGTAGAGGGGGAGTATAACCCTTGGGAGAGAGAGCTGCAGCAAGGCCTCTGGCTTCAACGTCTCTCAGATGAAGAGGACTCGGGTACACATAAAGGTACCCGTACACTGTCTCCACCTCCAGGGGAAGGTATTAAAGAGCAGGTCCCACATGAAGAGTTCCTGTGTTTTATTTCATTGTGTTACCAGCTCCCTCAAAACTGATTCAGTAGCCCTTGTTCATCTCCTGGTTCAAGTGCCATAAATCAGATCTGTCATTGCCACTGGTTTTAGGAAGGTGATAAAGCTACCAAGTACCTCAGGATTTCTAGAAAACCTGGACAATTTGCTGCTGTAATTTGCATGAACAGTGACTTCCAGGTAATAAGGAGTATCAGATTTGTTCTACACATGCAGACTACTTGCACCTGTGTATTATCTCAGACACATGGGACACATTAGAAGTACTGCCTTTAGACTGCTTGTGTCAGCAAAGTTGCTTTTTTTGTTGTCCTCTGTGTGTCTGTCTGTCTGTGGGGAGAGTCTGGAAGGAAACTAATCTAGCTACAGCAATCCCTCAAGATTCTTCAAGCAGTTACATAATAGTCATAAAATTAATCAGACATTCAAATCTAACTGGTTGTGTCATTTTCCATGATGCATTCTCTTGCAGTTTATTTTTGGGTTTTTGTAACACATGGTCCCAATAGCTTGTTAACCCCTCATTCCCTCAATGTGGTTCATTAGAGCCAGAACACATAAGAGGAAAATCCAAGTGCCTTCCTGCGTGTAAGGGGCCATATGCAGTTGTCAAACTGCATATTTTACAGCTGATGGTTGTAATACCAGTAGCTTAGCTTCCAACTTTCTTTTTTTCTTTCCAAGAGAGAAAAAAAAGAAGCATTATAACTTTTTTGCCATCTAACTTTCCTGTGATAAGAATGAGAAGTATTAGTAAGGTGGCTGAAGGGCATGGAATACCTGAAGAAGTTCCCCCTGTTTCAGTCGTCAGGGTGCTTCAGACCTGACTCTTAAGGAGTTGGTTTTCAGGTGGCTCCTTACTGCAATATAGTGAAAACCTTGAGCCAATAAAGTGAAAACATTGAGCCAATAAAGTGAAAACGTTGAGCCTGCCCACAGCATATAAAGTGCTGCTGCTGCAGTGGAAATGGAGAAAAGCTACCATTACAAATCTAAGTGCAATTAATGTTCAGCTTCCTGCAAAGCTGAGCAGGCAGCCCTGAGGAAAGGCTGTGCCACGTGTTTGAAATTCTCAAGCACTTAGACATTAAAGAAGTGTTAGGTTTGCCTCTAGGCCAAGCAGCAGCCCTTCATGTCTGGCTGTGCTGCTCATTATTTATTGGAAAAGGTGAGAGGGACAGGACAGGCTCAAGCCTCTGTGGAAAAACTAAAGGAGTGTAGGTTACAGTGGTCTAAATCCCAGAGCAATCCACTTGAAAACATGCAGATCATGTGGGACCTGCTCTTTCCAAGCCTTGCTGAGTGACTCTGTACTTCTCAGCCCCTGCTGGCAAACCTAAACCTTTTAACACAGACCTTTGTGCGGTGATGCAAGCGCTAACCCTACTCATCCTGGGGGCTGCATGCGAGCGCTTTGGGACGGAGCGGGGACAGCCCGGGCTCCTGTCCCTGCAGGATGGCCAGCGCCTCTGGAAGCCCTTGTGGTTGTGTAATTGATACAAAAACACTCTGGTGAGGCAACAGAGACATAAAGCTGCAGAATCCTTGGCTACATTGTGAATCCTGCTCTGCATTTGGGTTTGTGCCTCTGAGCCCCTTTCCCTTTAATGACCATCTGCTGATTCTGTCCTTCCTGCAGTTCCTTCTGCCTGTTTCTTCTGCGGTTTTAATGCCAAATCTCACACATAGTCATTCCTGAAATGGAAATCCCAAACACTTTGTCATGTCTGGGAAAAACATGGCTGGGAGAGAGGAACTTGTTAAAATGAGACAGCAGGAAATAATGAGTGCAAGCTCTAAATGCTGCTAATGTGTCTTGTTTCCTTCAAACACTAGAGCACCATATGAAAATCTAACTGCTTTTGAGGTTCTAAACTGCTGCAACAGTGCTTTGCCCTACTCAGTGGTAACCCAGTTGTGAAAATTGACTTCCTACTTTCAAAAGTAAGTGGGCATTTTCCTTTCAGGCTGAGGTGTTTGCTTTTGAAGGCCACTCCTGCAGACAGTGTACAGGTGAACACCTGTCCCCTGCAGAACCAGTTATTTTATTATGGATAAATGAAGCCTGAGTTACAGAGCCAGAGCAGACAGCAATAGAGACAGGGTCTATAAATTTAATACCTCAGAGTAAGTGCTCCCAGGGCAGGTGTTCTGCAGAATTTAAACAAGCTCATCAATTGCTTAAGGTGCCCATTGTTCTCTTTGACATTCCATAAGTAGCTGAGCTTTGTGGAGGCAAGTAATTGAAGAGTAATGCTATTTCTCTTAAACAGAATAATTTGTGTGACAGGAATTCCCTTCTGGGGAGCTGTTAAGTCACAACCAAAATGCTGTTATCCTTCAGGAAAAAAATTCTCCCTTTGAACAAGTCAGTACAAAAGAGCCAGGAGTAAACAAAATTGTTTTAGGTGCTAAAATTAGCATGTGCCCATATGCACATACACACGTAAAACTCTCAGATCCATCATATTATTTAATTCACAAAGTGTGTACCCAGACTAGAAAGAAGTGCCTAGCCCAATAGTAGGAAATAAAAAACCTTTTGTCTTGGTGCATCAGTCAGGTGGACATTATTTCTCACCTTAAACAGCAAGACAATATCTTTGGCAATAATCATAACGAATAGGCTGAAGGAGCTGGGAATTTCTGCTAAGTTGGTATTTACATACCACATTCTGTTGGACACCCAGAGAACTTCTTTCATTTCAGCAAAGCTTCTTGCAATAGACATGATGTCTGATGATGCTTTAATGGCATCCCTCTGCCTTGGAATGGCGTGACTCAGCTTGGATGGGAGGTGTGAGGAGCTGTACTGGTGGATGCGTGTGCACACAGTGCTGAGCTTTTTCTGTCTGTCTTGCAAACTGACCTTAGCCAATAATATTTTCTTTTCTTATTTCCTTTCCTATGATGTGCTACCTTTCCTTTCCACTGTTCTCCCATCTTTTCCTCCCTGCCCTTCATACACCCTGCCTACAACCTGTTATGCCATGGCCTCCTCCTGCTAGCTGGAAACCTTAGGCTGCAGCAGATTGTAAATCCGGTTGATCCTCTGGAGATCCTGGCAGATGTGCACTGGACACACATCCGTGAGAAAGAGGAGGAGGAAAAAATGGTCTCAGCCTCAAAGTCCTCCACCTCCAGAGGTAATCTCCCCCAAGCCCCACACCAGCAGTTCCTGGATCCCAGTTGCAGCTGTTTAACTCTGTTGCTTCTGCACCCTTCAAGACCAGTGACTTCAGCAGGGGCAGCAGTGATTGAAAGGAGCTGCTTTCAAATTGCACTGAAATTACACTTGGTTAAACTTTTTGCTTTTCAGGTCAGTGTCTGTTTAGAACTGCTGCTTTCTCAGCTCTGTGACAGTGTGACTTCTGGCCTATTTGTCTGCCTGCTTTGACTCTAGCATTTTTCCTCACCACACATGATTTGGCAGTGCTGGCAATCAGCCCTCTGTAACTGACTAGGGATGCTAATAGTAGTCTTGTGCTTTTTGTGGCAGGGAAAACTACACTTTCTAGGGAAAGCTGAGGGGCTGTGTTATGTAGCTACTAGAGCAAAGATTGAACAGGGTCAGCTTCTGTTTTGAGTGTATTTCTCTGCTGCTTCTTTTCCAAGTATGTAACTGCATCTGGTATGAGCAGGGAATGATGGGAGTCAAAGGGCTTGCAAATCTGATCAGTGATGGCTTTGAACTCCCTGTGTTTAGATTTGACAGTGTATCTACCTCTAATGTGCAAGTTGTCAGTTACTCAAAGGCAAACTTTGGAGGGGGAAAATGCTGGTAGTCTAGATCTCATGTGAGCACCTTCCAGCAGTCCCTGCTGACCTTGCTCTAGACTATGTTACAGCGTGTCTTAAGGTAAGTATGTCATAAGTGCTTTATCTGTGGGCTTAAATCAAAGTTTACCATGCAGCTGATGAGCTGTGGTCTTCTCTCAGTTTGCAGCCATGGTGACACAATTGTACAGGGAGTATATCTGCTGTAAGAAGCGGTGTCTTTCACAGAAAAAATGAAATTGCGTTAAAAATCCAGAGCTCTACCTCATGATACTTGGTTCTTTTCTATTCCAGATAATTATCTTTTCCTTGCAGTTTTAGATGTTTGGTGTAGGGGCTTTTTTAATCCTGGTCTAGCTTGATACACAATTCCAGATCAGTTTGGCTATACTTATATTTGCAGTTTGTAGAATGCACTGGGTTTTTCTGGTGTGAAATCAGCTCCCTACAAATAAGAGATGGGTATTTTGTTCCCACTACAGCCACAGAAATAGGCTGAGTCCAACTCTCTGTAACTCTCAGTATTGCTAGAGTGGTTGATTAATGTTTAAAAAGCACTAAGCTAAAAATGTTAACAATGTTTCTTAAGTTTACAACAATTAAGGTTACTTGTGCTTCTGCTTGGGGGGTCTGTGTCACTCTAGTTTCTAGATTTTTATTTTAATTTGTATTTTATTCTCAAAATCTGAAGGTCATGAGTTCAATCCTTACTTTTCTATGGGGGGCTATTACAGTGGCCAGCAACAGGTGATCTTTCCAAAATTGATTTGGTGATCTTTCCAAATTCCTTTGGGAAGGGAGTCAGTATTTCCTTTCTGTTCCCTGAAACTGGGCCAACCTAGGGCAATCCTGATGTATAATTAGCTGCTTCTATTGCTCTGTCATATGGCAGAGGTGTGTGCAGGTGTTATCAGCAGTTTGGGTATGTCAAAGGCTGTTGCCAACATCTGTTTGTGGACGTGCTGTAAGTTTTCAACCTGAGTTCAAGAGACAGATTGTTCCTGGCTGAGGAGCTGTATTCCGTGATCCGAGGTGTTTGGAGAGCCCACTGGCATCAGCAGTGATGAGGTTTGATGTGACAGCCCGGGACAGTGTCACAGCTCCCAGAAATCTCTCTCATTCTGCTTTGGGAGCAGAATGAGCGCCTTCCTCTGCTGGGCAGCAGGTTCTGGGACACGTGGGACCCCTCTCACTGCTCAGCTCTTCCTTCTCTCAGTTTCCCTCCTCTGCAGAGTTCCAAGGGGAGCATGGTAGCAGCAGGTGCTGGTCAGATGTGGTGTTCTTCTCACTGTGCCACACAGGAATATTTCCTCTAACATTACAGATCCCAAAGGAACATTAGGCTCCTGACACTTGTGTGTTATCTCAATTTACTTCTCAAACCTGGAATTGGGTGATTGAAATTTCATAGGTTTTATTCCTGTATTTGCTACTGAAAAATTTCCCTCTGTCACTCTTCTGTTTTAGACTCTGACTGCTGGTCTAATTTTGACTTCTTACAATTTATTGTTTTTTAAATTCAGCATCCGACCTTCCCTCCGTACGCCATGAGGCGGTACAGGCGTGGCTGGAGACGGTCCCTGGAGGTAGTTTGGTGATGTTCTATGTATTCCAATGCACAATAACCCTGCCCCTCTCTTCTCCGTGCCTTCAGCAGCTGAGCTGGTCCTTTAACCCTGGAACTTACGGCCCTGTCGCTACTGCATGAGTGGAGGTGGAGGGGGGACGGGGAGTGTGCATGTCCGCCTTGCTCAGACAGCCCCTTCTCGCATGAGCTCCACACTCACCCTAACCCTCGGCAGGCAGGCCAAGAACAGCTCATCCTGGGGGCAGCAATGCAGGAGGGATCCAGCTGAGCGCTCAGATTTGCTTGGGCAACTGAAGATGGACCAGGTTTTCTTCCCCCAACCCTTAGACTCAAGGAACGCGGGGCTTTCTTGCAGTTGAAAGGTTAAGTGACAGAGAATGCTTAAAGCAATTGCACTTCTCTGTAGCAACTGCAAACTGTAGTTGTGTGGTGAAGAAAACAGCAAAGAAGAATAAGTTGAAGCTAAGATCTTTAGGAATAGTGGTGGTTGTATTTCTTTTTATTCAGGAAAGTCTCAGGAACCTTGAAGGATGGTAGAGCTCAGCTGATTTTTTTTGCGTGGTCCTCTAAGCTCTATTACAAATCGATGAGCCTGAAGATTCTGGTATGATCGTGAGGGAGTACATTGTGTAAAGCTGTGAAGGTGTCTGAATTAGTGGAGCAGTCTGTGCTGGGTAGTTGATCTACAGCTGAGTTGCTTTGGCACATCAGAACAGCCAGCTTGCCTTTAAAACTTTGCTTCTGCTGCTGCTTTGGCAAGTCAGCAGTGTTTACAAGGTGTCTGCACACGATGCAGGCTGCTCACAGCTGCCAGCTAATATGAACCAAGTGCTGTTCCCAGTTTCTGGCTGCAGTAGTGTGTAACTTCTGAGTTATTGTGTGACAGCTTTTGGCCTCTTGCTCCTCATCCTAACTGCATATATGTATATGCACAGTATATGTATCATATAACCAGCCACTGCAAGCTTCCTGTGTCCCTCAGAATGGGACCCACCCTTGCACCAAGTTGTTACTTATTGATGCATCTGTAATCTTACCATTGAGTTTTTTGTACCAACCTATTTAAAACCTGATTTTCTCCTCTCTCTCCAACATAATCCGTGTGTGTCACATCCATTCATGGTTTCTGAATCTGAGGACCCACACATACATACTGGATTCAGATATTCTTAACATTACTTATGTTTTTTGCAAATTTTGATTAAGATTACTCACATTTGCTGTTACCGTAAAGCCATTCCATAACATTATCATTTCCAAAATAACATAAGCTATTGCATACCTAAGCAATGATCAGACTGGGATATGGTTTGATTTTGTTCAGTAGATTTATAAATGCTCCTGTAGGCACTCCAGCCTTTTCCACATGATTCAGTTTTCCTGTGCTTGACATAGGTAAGGGTCTGGATTTGATAATCCTCTGATGTAAAGGAATAGGCCAGTACATTATCACACATGAGTGGAACTGCATTTCACAGTAGCTGACAGAAAATAAACTACTCCATGCTCGCTACAGAGCATGGAAAAAAGGAAATTCTCAGGTTGAAGGAAGAACACAAACCAGCTGCTGAAGGCTGTCTTTTGAAATAAGCAAAAACCTGTATTAAAGGAGAGGCTGCAACACCTCGGTTTCAGGGAAGGTTGGTTTGTTTTCAAGACTGCCTTAATTAGCAATGCAATGATGCAAATAGTTCCAAGAGCCACATCATCACTATTAAATAAAAAGGATCAGGAACTGGAAGTGCTCACTTTTTTTTTAATATTTAAATTATGTTTAATGGAAATGTTTAACAACAAAAAAAAAAAGCGGCAAATCATCCATTGCACAGGGTTTTTTTTAAATATCATTTAATAATGAGATTTATACTCCACACTTTGATCTTGTCTCTCCTCCTGTAATTAAATGCTGTCAAAAGCAGTAGTGTCAGATGTCATAGTTTTGAGAGTAACAAATTCAAGAATCTCTTCTTTGTTTTGACCTAGTAAATCAAATTGTGGTCTGTAAATGGAAAAAAAAAGTTTTGAATAAGTAATTTGAATTACTTAGAAGTGTCTCAATTAATGATCTGTAACAGAAAAAAGGTTTTATATATGTCATTTTAATTACTTCAGAGTATTTCAATTTGTGCACTAGTCACTTGTACAGCATATGCATTTTCTTACACCTTATTACCAAAGACTGCTGTAGCTGCACAGAGTTAAACAGTTTCCAAGTGTAATAATGGTAAATCCCATACCCAGACTCTCTCTTTGACTTACACCCTCAAAGCCAGTTTCAATTTCAAGATGAACAGTCCTGGTTAATTTTGAGGTTCCAGTTTTGACCTAACAACATGTGCTATCAAGTGATGGTAACTGTTCTGTTGTGGTAAAGAAAAACCCCAAATGTTCCTGGAAGAACAGTAACCTTTATTCTGGTTTGATGTCCTCCCAGTCCCCTTCTTGTTTAATTTTTCACAACACCTGTTTATCAGAAAAGCCCTGGCAGCTTTCACTGTAAATGCTTTGGATACTCCCAAGGGTAGGCATTCCTTGATTCACTGGAGTCTGGAAGTGTCACTTCACCATAGATGTCTCTCCAGGTGACACATTTCAGGATTTCTTGTATTGACAGTAACTGATAAACATCTCTGGTATAAACTATTGGTGCCGTTCAATATAGAACTTTTTCACTGTGTAGTGTTTGTTTCCTTTTCTTTTTTCCCTCAATATTTGAATATATTCTAGCTCCATGTGAGGAGGATGATGTGGAGGATGAGCTGGGCACAGAGCCTGCAGACACAGAAGGGCAGGCAGGTGAAGAGGGAGACACGGGTGCAGAGCTGGACGATGGTAGGGTACCACTGTGCAGCCTTTAAACCTGTTGTGTGAGCAGAATGTATTGGCAATCAACACTTTGCATGAGGGTACTTAAACCTGGTCTTATTTTTAGAGGTGTGGGAGTTTGTTTCAAATATCTGAGAGGGAGCCAGGAGTGAGGGACAAAAAGAAAGAGAAGAACCTCAATGTCCTGGATTATGTAATGAATTTCTCATGTCCTCTCACCCCATGTCTTGTGTCTGTATTCAATACTAATCCTGATGAATAACAGAAATATAATTAAATTTGTGAAAGGTCCATAATACTGTCAGAATGCTTCCTGTGCTATTGTAAAATTAACTGCATATGGCAGAAAACATGGAAAATTTTCCAGAGAACTGATAAGAAAAACTTCAGTTACTGATTTAACTCTTCGTACTAACAGTCCAATCATTTACTGCTTACATTTACTGCTTAAATGACTAATTATCACCAAAAAAGGAGTGAACATTTAAGTGTTCAGGTTATGAAAGTGGTTAGCACCATGTGAATAGAAAGCATTATGCCCTGATGGACTTGTATCCAAGTTCTCTTGTTTTTTCCCTCCATGGTCAGACATTGCCTCTGATGCAGAAGCAGAGTTTCGCTTACGTCAGAGTGGTGCAGGAGGGGCAGAGCTGAAAGTCTCTGAGGATGAAGAAGAAGAAGAAGAAGAAGCAGAAGGTGCTTCTCACAGTGTGACAGAAGAAGGTAATCACTTTCTCTTTAGTGCTTGAATGATGTCAATTGCATTTGAGTATACAGGATTTAGGAGAAGAGAGTCCCTTGGATTTGAATCACCTCACGCTCTCAGTGACAAGGTCTGTGCTTGCATTAACATTTTGAGAAGAATGTTCTGAATCCATTAATTACAGCTTTGTAAAATGTGAGAACCCTTCTAACTCCTTTTTTGTTGTAAAAGTTGTTGTTAAAAAGTTTGTATCATTTTAGACATTTAAAAATTTTTGCTGTGTTCCAGATGTCCAATCTAAAATTTGTAAAAAGCTGAGAAATTTGTCTCTACTTGCTGTGTGTAACATTTAAAAATGATAGAATATTAATGGTTTATGTATTTTGGTAACATTTTTCCTTTCCCTAGATCCATGCAAGCCATCCATCCCCATCCAGCCCTCTAGTGAGAGTGTTCTTCCTCTGTCTCCAGCTGCTAGTCCCAAAGCAAAACAAGCAGAGGTAAGAAAGGGAGTCTTTGACATTTTCTACTTAGCACCTGTAGTTCAATAAAACAGTTTGTTGGATAAACTGAGGACTGACAGCAGGGGGCTCTCCTTCTTTTCTAATGTTTATGTTGATCTTGAAATCTGACTTCATTTAGCCTTAAAATATAATGTATACTGTCTGTTTTCCTATCTTCAGGGTTCAGTGGCTCTATCACAGCCACACAAGTTCCCATCACAAGGGAAGAATTATCCAGGATATTTTAATCTCAGTGAGCAGCTAGGAACAGGTATATGTGATAAATGTAGGGAGCCATAAGTGAGGTGTTTCCTGTTTATCCTGGTCTGGCTGTCTTTGATGTGCCAAAAACAGATTCTGTGCAGCTGCAATTGAAAATTACGGTAGTAACCAAAGCAGTGCCTCTTTGTTCCAGAGCTGAACATAGCTCAGCTTAAGGAAGTGAGGCATGTCAGTGTTGTCCTGTCATGTTGTCAGCTTGCAAGTGTACTGCAGTGTGTAAGAGCTGGAAGTACATGACCCTTAAAATGTTCAATTCAAATTTTCCCTTCCAAATGTTTTATTTTTTTTTTTTTTTTAAGGAATTGCTAAAATATTGTCTTAGAGAGCTTTGGCATAGGCCAATTTACTTTTACAGTGAGCTGAGTCTGGCCTGCTGACAGCAATTGCTGACAGCATTCACTTTCTATTAAAATAAAGCTTGTTTTTTTGATAGCCATCTAATGATTCTGTCAGACACAGTTTTTGTTTAGCAGGCAGACTTTGGGACATTAAATTAGTATTTTGATACTTGAATGGTTTCCTTATTTCTAGCTTTGTTAAAAGCAAAAAAAAAAAAAAAGGAATTGTATTCTCATGTGCTCAGTGACTATTAATGTTCCCCTTTTTCATTTTTCTCTAGGATGCAGAAGATCCCCTGGCTGAAGTGTGCCGTGCAATAAAATCCCCAGAGCCACGCTTTTTTCCTGAGCCTTTCATTCTTGAGGAAAGACCAAAGGATGAAATTCCCAAAGAAAGGAAAGTTAAGAGCCCTTTGGTGCCACCATCTCCAGTGTTGTCCCAGCCAGTTGCATCACCAGAAGCCATTGCAGCCCCATCACTTGCAGAGTCCCAGCCAGGAGCACCAGCACTGGCCTCATCCCCAGCATCTGCTCAAATGCCTATCTGTTCCCAGCCTTTGCCTTCTGCTGAAACATCCATTCCATCCCCAGTGGAGCCTCCAGTATGTTTCCAACCTGTCCCAGCCTTAACATCTACTCCTTTAGCCAAATTGGCCCTGAGGGGCCAGGATGGTGAGGTGGAAAAACTGGGGAGCCCCACTACTGCAGAAGAAGCCCTGAAACGGAGCAGCCTCGTGGAAGAGTTCTGGATGAAGAGTGCTGAAATCCGACGGAGCTTGGGGCTCACCCCCGTGGACAGAAACAAACGCTCAGAGAGCAACTTCACTGTGTCTGCTCTGGAGGCAACTCCTCAGAAGACTTTCAATAGCAGGAATATTTCAGGGGATGAGAGGATCCATCCTGTGAAACCCCAGCCTGCCCCAAGAAGGCAGGGACTATCCAAGTTAGAAAATGAGCAGATTTCTCTGCTTACTCCAAAGTCTCCATCAGAAAAAGAGCTAAAGATTTCCAATGAAGTACGGGGAGATGTGTCCAGCAGCTCTGGGCTTGGCCTTCAGGAGAGCTCATCTAACATGAGAACCATGGCTAGCCAGAGCTTCAACACTTCTGACTCCACCATGCTAACTCCCCCGTCGAGCCCGCCCCCACCACCTCCTCAGAACGAGGAGCCGGCCACGCTGCGCAGGAAGAGGTACCAGGCACTCTGGCAGAATGAGGTGGAAGCCAGGTCACCTCCAACACCAGCATCAACCCCTCCTGCTCCCCGGCGCCAGGAGCCAACCCCTCCTGCCAAGGAGCCAGCCCCGGCCAAGAGGGAGGAGGTGCGGAAGTCGTTCGCGGAGAGCGTGGATGAAATCCCGTTTGCTGATGACGTGGAGGACACGTACGATGACAGGACAGAGGACTCAAGCCTTCATGAGAAGTTCTTTACACCTCCTACCAGCAGGCCAAGGCCAGAGAAACCACATCTTTTGCCCTTGGTGAAAGAAAATGGTGGTCCACCCTCCATGGAAGGAAGGGTTCACCATAAGAAGAGAGTGTTCCCTGACATTTCTGTGGAGGCCAAGGAGCTCGCTGAAGAGAGAATGAGAGCCAGAGAGAAGTCTGTCAAGAGCCCAGCACTACGAGATGCCATGGCTAAACAGTTGTGTAAGATGAAAGATATGGAGATGACTGCTGCTCCTGCTGCTACTGCGGCCACAAGGGCAAGAAAGGCATCTTCCATGCCCTTGAAGACCAAAGAGTTGTTTTATGAGTCTCCAAAACATTTGGCCTTGAAATTAGCAGAGGGATCCGCACGAAAACATCATTCTGCTACTGAGAAGTACTCCACTCCTCCTGCTGACATGGCTGGACCTGAAGGGTCTGTCAGCTCTTCAGAAGGCTCCAGTGGGAAGAGTAAGAAAAGAAGTTCCCTCTTCTCCCCTCGTAAGAACAAAAAGGAGAAGAAATCCAAAAACGATAGCAGACTTTCTGACAAATCTAGTGGTGGGACAGAGGAAGCAACAAAGCCTAGGTCCTTATGGAAGTCTGTTTTCTCTGGCTATAAGAAAGACAAGAAGAAAAAGGCTGATGAAAAATCTTGCCCAAGTACTCCCTCAAGTAATGCCACTGTGGATTCTGGCAAGCACAAACCCTCTGCTCCACTGATTACAGCTGCAGGTATAACAGATAAGTGCCTCTGCACTGTGCACTTCTCCTACTTTTCCGAGGTGTCCTTGAAAGTAGTTTTGATTTGCTTTGTTATTCAGCTACCGTGTGAATGCTGCTGCTCCCAGTGTCAGATGGGCAGAGTGGGATAGGTGCTAGGGACTGGATTTGTGTTTCTGCATATTGACAGAGTCCTCTGAAAAAAAAATGGAACCCTAACTGAAAGCTTAATTCTCAATATGTACAAGGTACATCTGTTTTATATCTTAGATTTGATAAATAAGCATCATTTGTTGGAACTCGTGACATTTCCTCCCTACTTTAAATCTGATCTTCATCTTTTCTTTGTCTGATCTCTCTTTCTTTCTACCTGGTTCCACAGAAGCTGAAGACTGCAGAGATGCTGTTATTCCTGTTCTCAGTAGGTGGCTGTCTGCTGATCTCTGAAGGAGGGAGTTGGCAGCCTCCTGTAAATCTTTCACATGCCCACCAGTTGCAGGCAGAGATGTTTAATGGCAGCTTGGGATACAGTAAAGAAGTTACCCATAAATGTGATTAAAAGCAAACATGTTACATTTCTCTGGCATTGTACAAATAGCCAAAACAGAGCCAGCTGCTGTCATTCCAAGTGCTATATCTATCCTAAGAGCATTGATAAAACACAAAAAGAGAACCATGATCATTATTTCTAACAGCATTTGGAGGAAGTGATGCTCTCTTAGAACAGCCTAAACTCATGCTGGTCATTTTGTGGAGCAGGGCTTCTTTGATCCCTCCCAGGCAAAACAATGGACACAGACATGAAAGGACTGAGTATTTTTGGTGCTCAGTCAAACAACCTACAGCTGAGCAAAAAGATTTACAGAAAGGATTGTTACCACTTTTCTAACTTCCCCTTTTTATTCCCAACTTGGCAGATTTACAGCTCCGTCAGCACCTGAGTTTCTCAGAGGACTCTGACCTCTCCAGTGATGATATTCTGGAACGCTCCTCCCAGAAATCCAAACGAGAGGTATGTAGGTGGGAAATGCATTTTAGATGGATCTAGCACCAGTCAGGTCACAGACTCAGAGAATCACATCAGAAACCTAGGTGATTAATGTTGTTGTTTTTACTTTCTCCCATGGAGCAGGTTTTCCTCTAAGTTGGCTGACTGTCCTATCTAAAATAAGATGGTTTCACTTGTTTTCATGATTACAAGCTGCTCTGCACTGTTATTGTAAGAAGGATCCGTTGTCTCACTCTCCCATTACTTTACTGGGCACTAAAAGGAAACAGCCTGTAATCTCCTGGGTATTCCTTTTTCCCCTTTTAAAAATGGGATTTTGTTTCCCCTTTTCTAGTCAGTGGGAACTCTACCAGACTGCCACAGCTTCTCAAAGAAGATGGATAGTGGCTTAGGCCCTTTCTCTGCCAGTTCCTTCAGAACTTGTGCACCTGTAGGTGCCTTAGACATTCTCAAATGTGACTTTCTCCTACACGGGCAGTTCTTCATTCTCCCAACCCCTTCTGTGACTGGGATGTTGTGACTGGAGCCACTTGCTGGTGAAAATCAAGGCAACATTAGAGCACCTCAGCCTTTTCCATATCCTGGATAACCAGGTTTCCAGTTTCCTTCTGGAGAGGGCCCATGTTTTCCCTAGTCTTCCTTTATCACTGGCATACCTATAGAATCTTTCCCTGTTGCCATTGATGTCCCTGGGCAGATTTAATTCTGTCAGGGCCTTAGCTTTCCTAACCTGATCCCTGGATGCATGAATAATTTCTCTGTATTCCCCCCAGGCTACCTGCCCTTGCTTCTACCCTCTGTAGACTTCCTGTTTCTGTTTGAGTTTGTCCAGGATCCCTTTGTTCATCCACACAGCATTGTTGCCTCTTTGTTAGGATGCATTGCTTCTGAGGTTGGAGGAAGCATTCCTTGAATGTTAACCAGCTTTCCTGGGCCCCTCCTCTCTCCAGGGCTTTATCCCATGGCATTCCACTAAGCAGATCCGTGAAGAAGCCAAAGTCTGCTCTCCTGAAGTCCAGGGTAGGGAGCTTGCTGTGCACCCTCCCTACTGGCCTAAGGACCTAGTATAAGAATTTAGTTTAATTGCACACATTTATATGTGGAAAATGTATAGTGAAAGCAAAGTTTCAAAGCTAGTTATTTTTAAATTATTTGATTTATTTTTAGAATGTCACTATTAGACAGAATTGGCAAGGTTTGGAGGAATATGTAGAGATTTTATTGACCCCACAGAACATGAAGGCTCTTCTGGTACCAAAATGAAAACTGTGTTCCCACTGTTCTTTGCTGGTGGTGCCTGGTACACATGTTAAAAAAAGCTCAAGAAGAAAAGAGCTGCTGGGAGGGAAATGTCACAGGCACAGTGGCCTGGGCCTCCTGTCCCAAACCTGTCATCCCATGAGTACAAATCAGTCTCAGATGCCAAGTTGATCCTTGGCTGAGATGGCAAAGGTGTGGAACTACTGCAAATTGAAGTGTCATATGAAATGCTTTCTAAGTATATATGCTAGAATGAACTAGAATAGCTAATGAATGAATTTAAGGCTGGTGGAAGAAATTGATGAACTAAATAGGAATTTTCTGTATTTACTTATCTCTCTTTTAATCTCTTTCCCTAGTTGGTCTAGATCTCATCTGAGAGGAAGATTATTTTGTTTTTATTTTATTCCCTTTTTTCTCTCCCCCTTCCATTCCCCCTTGCATGCCCTCAAGGCGTTTCATGAGAAATTCTGCATTTTCCAAGAGATGCAGAAGAATGAGGTACCTGGGGCCAGCAGAGGACAGATACTCAACACCTGGGGTTCAGATAAGAGTTACAGAGTTTTTGGTCTGCCTTGATGGTCATTTTTTTCCTATGCTATAGCACTTAGATTTAAAATGGCTTTTTCAGAAAGACAGATCACATCTCTAAGCACAGGAGGGGATGATAAGTGACAGTGGCAGATGCCTGGAATCCTCATACTGAAAATATCTCACAAGCTCTGTCAAGGTGGTAGTGTCTCATTTTCACTCATTGCTGTTGCTGAAGTTACATTAAGAATTTATTTACTCAGCATCTGTTCTCTTAAGAACAGTTTTGAGAATGTATTTATTTAGAGGATATGGATCTGAAAGCTTGATTTACCTCATTTTGTTGCATCCTATCCAAGGATGTAGAATATACATGCAAACACTGGAATGCCTTGCTGTCAAAAGAAATGTAACCAAACTTTGAGTCTGACCAAGCTGGGTTTGTACTGGTTTGGGGTGGGAGTTGTATTTTTTTAAGTTATAACCTGCCTGCTACTTTCTATGGGTAAGAGCTGACTTACTGTTTGCTACTTAACTTTTATGTGAACCCCTTCTCCAAACTGAAATCCTGTTTGTGCTGCTTTTTTGGTAATGTAGTGAGCTTGCTTCCCAGACAGCCTGCTCTGTTTAGCCTGCTCTTTGTGATCAGCAGTGAATTAATTCAGTGTTGTTTAATGTGGTGTCTCTCAAGAGAAGCATCTTGTAAAGAATTCCTGACGTGAGCGCCCCGTGGGTGTTGTGTTTGTAGGTGTATTGTCACCATGTGTGTGTTTGTCATTGTTCCTGTACAGTTGTGGTGTTGTGCTCAGGTGTTCACCACCACAGGTAGCTTGCTTTTTCCTGGAGCCTGCAGACATGCTGGTGTTTTTCTCTGGCTTCTCGTTTGTGACTGGTTTTAGTTAATTGAATGTGAGAGTGCAAAATGCTGTCTGTTTGCCCAGAGTGGCACAATGCCTTCTGGACTTCATGACATGAAGGGAAATTTACCTCCCCTCTTAGCAAATAAAGCTAAGTGCTTTACTTGCCTTATATTTACATAAGGCAATATGTTATATTATAGGGTAGCATAGAATGTCCTTGGCTAGGGTAAGTAGTGATATCCCCCTCCTTTTCCTGCTCCTTTCCCCCTCCAATTTTAGCTCCTCAAGATCTTTGGAGGCTCTCCTTTTAGACAAGGAGGTTCCACTACTGCAGGACACATAACCCACTCTGAGCCCATCTGGTGTTTCCTAGTTCATGAAGCAGTGAATAAGATTTATGATGTTGGTTAAATGTCAATTATTTCTATGAAATGGAAATAATTTAAAACTGTGGAATAAACACAACTCCTAGGAGAGACTGTAATGTAAATGGAGAGTTGTGTGACATGGTTGGCCAAGCCAGTTCAAACCAAGTATGTTCCAGAAATAAGCCATTATTCCAAATCTTAAGCCAGAATTTCATACTCATACAGGTAGACAAAGGCCAAATAATTCCTCTAGAAAAAAGGTATTTCCTAGTTGACTGTATCTTCAAGGAGGGTGACAAAACAAATTGCCTTCAGGAAAGTGCTAGAAACTTGATTTTGTGGCCAGAAGTTCCATTGTGCTCCATCAGTCTGGGTCACGTTCAGCATTTGCACAATTTCGTTTCATGTAAAAACCACCTTGTTTTATTACTGTGCATCTGTTTTCAATGTTGAACTGATTTTGCTTCATTTTGTGCATTTTTTTTTATTTTTCTCCCTTTACCATTCCCCCTTTAAAGTCGATCTATGTACCACACGCCTTGGCATTCAAGAGATCATACTCGTCAAAGGTAGTGTCTCCCTTCCCACTAGTTGGCCATTGTTGCATTGCATGTCCCCCTATACATTAACCCATTGAATCCATAGCTCCAACCACATGTGCACTAACATCAACACTGACTGTGCATGCCTGAGATGTTAGCAGACATGGGCAGCAAATTCTTTGTAGAGGATGTCTCCCAAAAATGCATTAAGCTCCGAAATGTCTGGTTGGAATGCATGCATTTATCAGTGCGCCACTGTGCAGTGATGTGGATTGTCTATGAGCTTCAGAACAAATTGGTTTTCAAGGAAATTAAATATGTTTGTATATTCTTTTTTTAATGCTTCAAATGTGAATTCAAATGAATCATCACACTTCGATCAGCAGCTTTCAAAATTGCTGAGTTGGCTCAAATCTTAGTGAAATTCTGTATCAAGCTAAAATCAAGGCAGAAGTTGCTGCTTTCTGAAATTCTTATTGTCTTGTCTTTGCAGTCACAACAGTGTTACATGGGATAGAAAGTTCATGTGCTCTGTCTCCTCACCTTCTAATTTGAGTACCATCGTGGATTTGTGTTTTCAAAAAAGAAAGAGTAAACTCTGAGCTTTTTGAAGCTTTAACAGTGGTGCTTGCCAGTGACCTACCTGAGGGATTTTTAATTAAGCTGTGATGCTACCTTGAACTATGTTCACTGAGAACCATCAACAAAGGTAGACTGACCAATGTGGCAGCACAATAACTAAATCAAGCAAATTTCAGGGTGGTCTGACATAACATTCTGTTCTTGAAGTTGACTGTCCATGGAGATCTCTTTCCAGAAGTGGAAGACGTATGTTTACAGCAGCCCCTTAAAGCTTACATACATGTACATGAGAAAAGAGGCTTTTTCTTCGCTGTGGTTTACTCAGTGCAGTTGTCAAGTTTTTTTGACACTCTTAAATCTCTTTGAGAGAAAGCCTTTCTAGGCCATGATATATCCAACTAGTGTATCTGGTGACATCCTAAACCAAATTTCAGTAATGTCAGAAAGACATATTCATGAACTAGTTTCACTGACAGAAAAGAAAACTAAATACCCTATTATTTCTATAAGCATAGCTTTTCCCCTTTTGGATGGCTTCTGGTGGTGCAATATTCTACATTAGTCTGTAGTAATTTCTTAGCTTACACTGCTGTAACTGTTCATGTAGACAAGCCTTTACCCTCTTTTAAAATGAAATCAAGGGGACTCCTATCAAGATGAACCCTCTACATGGCACTCATTGATTTATCTAAATCCATTTGGCTAAATTTATTGAGAAATGAAAACTACTGAGAATAAAAACTGGTTTGATCTTTGGGAGAGGTTTCATATAGCAGGGGAAGGCAGGGGTGGGATGTCATATAAAATCACAGCTTTGCAGCTGGCTTAGATGCTTCTTCACTCCTGATTTGATCCTGAAATTGTTGCTCACTGCACCATGAACACCTTTGCCTACAGAAGCTTGACTTTTGACACAGCCATGGCAAAGACAGAACACCTCCCTTCTGAGATTTTTGGAGGAGAAAATGGTCATCCCTGCCCTCATATCCCTGAGCATGTATATAAGATCTGCTGCTGTTTTCCTTCCTTCAGAGGGCCTACACAGAGGAGGAGCTGAACGCCAAGCTGACACGGCGAGTACAGAAAGCTGCCCGCAGACAAGCCAAGCAAGAGGAGCTAAAGAGGTTACACAGAGCTCAGGTAGTGTCTCAAAAGCCTCTTGTCATGACACACAGACAACTCTGTGTCACAGCACCCTGATCCTGACATTCCTCTGAGGGTATCAGAACAGAATCCTCTCTTTCTACATGAGCGCTCCTGCTCCCTCTTTCAAATTTCATGCCATGCCACAGAGAAGTGAAGGATGGCTGAAACCCATCATGAGAGTTTTACAGTGAGAAAAATCATGCCCATAGCACCTTTCTAGCAGCCATCATGCACTGAAATGGAGCAGTGATACTCACACAATGCCTGATGGAGCTGCACCTATCATTGCTTTGCTAGGTTATGCTGGCGGGTGATGTGTTATCAAATTAACGTTTAATTACCAGAGAGTCTGCTGGAAAACTGCTAACATCATTTACAGGTGGTGGGATTTGTCAAAAACTCAAGGCAGGGGCTCAGCTGACTGAGTAGCATCACCTTTCAGTTCAATGTTCAGGAAGGTGTTAGGAGCTGTAGCAAATAAATGAATATCAAGGTGTTTGCAAATTTAAGAGTTAAGATACAACAGGGTGGGGAGGGTGCTGTCACTGGAATCTGTGATGCTTGCTGTTGAAGCAGTATTGAATGTAGGGAGCCCCCAACGTGAGGAATGATTGGGATCTGACTCTATTGATTCAGGAGGCTGAACAATTGCTTTATTAAAACTATACTATATTACATTAATACCATATTATAACTATACTAAAGAATGCTAAAAAGATACTAAAGAAAAACCCATGGCTGTCTCTAGACAGCCAGGACAAGCTTTGACCCAATAGGCCAAGGAATCAAAATCATCCTTAGTAGAATCTAATTGATAAATCACTTCAGGTAAATAATCTTCCTAACACATTCTACATGTGCAAAAATAACGGGAGCAGCAAGTAGAGATAAGAATTGTTTTCTCTTTCTCTGAGGTTCCTTGCTGCGATTCCCAGGAAATATCCTTGGGAAGTTTTTCCTGCCTGCTCTCTATGAAGGGAGCTGTGGCTACAAAGCAGGGTGTTGTTGAATACAAATGCTTGTTTCTGAAAAGGCAAATCTGACTGAAATCTCTTAGTGCTGGATGTGTGCTGCAGACAGAGCAGCAGAATTGCTTTGGTGAGGTTCTGCTCCATTCTTCTCTGAACAGATTATCCAGCGGCAGTTGGAACAAGTGGAAGAGAAGCAGAGGCAACTCGAGGAGAGAGGAGTTGCTGTGGAGAAGGCCCTTCGAGGAGAAGCAGGTATCCATCACAACTTGGTTTGGTTTTCCACGTTTTCTTCCCAAGTGCTTGTGCAGTAATCTGTAGCTGTTTGGATTTTAGAGGCAATTGGACCATTATAGCCTAGAGACTGATCCCAATGTGAATCCCTTCTCCCTTCTCTGCTATCTTTTTGAGGCCTTGTTTTTCCTGTGTTTCTTCTAATTCTGGGACTTCCCTATTGGCAGAGACTTAGGTCATTTACCTTTGCCTGAGGTGTAGGAGGTAATTATCCAGCTACTACTAATGGCTGTTTCTGCATACTACTGGATCCTACAGCTGGAAAATTGCAGGGGTTTCACAGCTGCCATTCACACAGAGTTGTCACAGTGAGACAACCCTGTTTGTATGTTAAGGAAATAGTTGTGGAATGGTGTGTGCTTTCTTTATTGTGTTGGATTATCAAGGTAGTGTCCTTACAAGGGACCATCACAGAACATCTTCCTCACTGCACAGCCCAGCACACTGGCTACTTCTGACAAAGTTGTGCAGAACAGAAATGCCCATGTGTACTGAAAGGTATCCATGTCAAGCTGTTAAAACAAATGCTGTGTGTACTTGAAATTAAATTAAATGAGTGTCATCTGATCTGGCAAACATATCAGTGGAGCAGTACCTGGTTCAGATAATGCTGATAGTAGTATAATGATTTGGGAAAAACTCCTCAATTTGCAAGGAGTCAAATATCCAACAGGCAAATGCAGTGTATGTATACCTGACAAGGCCGGGATGATGTCCCTGATCACAAGGGTCAGAATTCAGAAATGGGAACAGTGGAACAGATGTTTGGAAAATGTTTGCTTGTTGCTTGAAGAGCCACATCTATACCTCTGAAGATGGAGCTTGATTAAGCAGTGAGGGTGCACCAGAGAAGAAGTCTGTTGTGGCTCCCTGGCAGTTACTACTGAGCCAGAATTAGCCAGGTCTGGTGCTCCATAAGGGTGTGCCAAAGAAGCTGGACTGAGTGCTCAGCAAAGCAAATAGGTACTACGAGTGTGAAGAACAGTTTTGAGGACTTCAGTATGATCAGACTGTCTTTATTCATTTGTGGGATCAAAAAAATGGCCTTGTGCAAATGCCTGTCTTTGTGGGCTGCCTCCTTCCTTATGCTGTGTGTTCCTGTGTAGCCCCACTCTGTTCTCTGGCCTGCCAGTTAGTTACTGGACTTACTAAAGCCACCTCCATTGTTTCAATGGTTCTTTTCATTTTGCTTCTTTTCATCTGGAAGTCAAAATAATCTTGATTATTGAGCTGCTGAATGACTTTCATGTAAGACATGCTAGCACAAGTGGGAAATCTTAGCAGCTGAGAATATTATTCATTATAGAGTTTTCTCACTGAAGAATCATAGAATGCCTAAAACACGTTCAGAGAGGACAGAATATGACCAAGAGTAAGAATTACAATTTTATATGGGACACTGCAGAATTTGGATAAATAGCTTCTCACTCTCAGCTCTCCCAAATGGAAGCAGTCTTAGATGAGCTTGTGTATTTGTGAATTCCCTAGAAGAACTGTGAAATTGTGGGTCCTGCTTTGCAAAAGGGATCTCTTTTCTTGAGAATGTCTCTAGGCATTATGCTTAGCTCTTGCGAAATATTTCTATCAATAGGTCACATGTTTGCAGAAGCTTAACTCTGACATGAAGATTTCACCATCCTAAATTCTTCCCCCTATTTCAGGGGATTACCCAGAAACACACTGGTGGAGGGAGAAAAAACAGCATGTTCTCCAATAATGTTCTAATCTGTGTTGACTGAAACACAAGATTATAAATCAATTCCATGCTTCACCTCTCTAGGTCCTCTTGCATGGCCATAGAATCATTGAAGTTGGAAAAGACCTCTAAGATCATGAGTCCAACAATTAATCCGACACTGCCAAACCCACCATTAAACCACATCCCTAAAATGCCACATCCACACATCTTTTAAATACCTCCAGGGTGGGGACTCCACCACTGCCTTGGGCAACCTGTTCTAGGGCTTGACAAACTTTTCCATGAAGAAATGTTTCCTAATATCCAATCTCAACCTCCCCTGGCACAACTTGAGGCCATTTCCTCTTGTTGTGTTACTTGGGAGAAGAGACCACCCCCCAGCTGGCTACAGCCTCCTTTCAGGAAGTTGTAGAGAGCAGTAAGGTTTCTCCTCAGCTTCTTCTTTTCCAGACATTTTACATGTTTGCAATAAAAATAACTGAATTCGTTCTTTTTGAGATCTGTAGTATCACATTCCATAAAGTTAATTTCTGCCTGCAATATCCACTAATTATTCAAGAGGGAAGTATCATTTTTCTGTCATCTGCATTGTGACCCAACAGTGGCCACTACATCAACAAGGACTGCTGTGTAAAGGTGTGGAGTCATGCTCTTGTCTCTGATCAGTCTCTCCCTAAGGAAATTATCAAAACAAAAGTTCAAAAAGGGAAAGGCAGTGTATAAAGTGGTGTTGCCATCTAAAAAAGAAATCTCTTTATAAGGTTGTATAAGGAAGAAAAATGGGGAGCTTGGGAGGTGTGTCTGCTGTGCACTTTGTCCACAAAAATAGAGAAGGATTGCAGTAGAGCATCCAAATAATGGCTCTTCCATAGGCAGCAGCCAGTATTAACTGTTCTGGGACAATGTATTAGGCTCTGTAATGAGTGGGATTTTCAGGTTCCTTCCATGCAGGGAAAGAAAAAAAACACTTATTGATCAGCATTTAAATATGAAGTTTTGGGTAATGTTAATAGTAGTTTCTTACTACTTAAAAATCCAGACAGAAGAAACAGAATTCAGTAACTTGCAATGATTCTTTTCTTCTTCTATGATAGGAGAAGACAAGACCAACTTGTCTTGTTCTAAGACCAACTAGTTCTCGATGTAGTTTATCATCTTCTAACTATTGCTTCTTAGTCATCTTTCCATCTTGCAAATTTTTCTTTTGTAGAGGTCTTCCACTAACTTTAATTCCTCAAATCTCTCACATCTGGACCACTTTCCATTTCTAGAAAGAAGTATTTTTCAGTTCAACTGGTAAGAACAAAAACTAGTTCTATAGATAAAAATTTATTTGCTTAGAATAATTTTGTTTCTACTTTCTATCCATTTTGTATCATCCTTAATATGTTTTTGGGAAGTAACTTAAACTGAGAAGATTGTTAATCAATTTTTCACAGTGATGGCCTGCTGTTTTCCTGAGAGATTACAGCTTTTGATCTTAGCAATAGATACAGGCAACTCAATATTTTTTCCAGGAATTTCACACATTATCTGCTATTTGTCAGGGTGGAATATTTATGGGGGTGATACTTGCTCTTCAACTAATCAAACTCAGAAACATTTTGGAGTTCACCATCAACTTTAATCCTAACAAAATAATTGTGTCTTCTTGGCTACCTCCTTGTCTTTTCTTTTTTTCAATTAGCTCAGCCTCAGGCATGGCACAGTTGCTCTTTTATTCTTTCAGAAGTTGAATGCTCAAACATTTCGTTTCTGATTCAGAACATCTCCCAACCTATGATTACTTTATTGCTTTAATGTGTTCTCTATGATTATCTTTGGAAATCTCAGCCTTTGATAGCTGCATTCATAGCAAGAATGAAAGCTTAGGAGGGTAAGCTCTATTTTGAGTGGCAGTGTAAGCTCTGCTTCAGGGGGAGGTGCAGGTGGTCTGAGCTACTGTCATCCCTTGTTTTCCTTCCCTCCCTGCCCCCTTCCTATTGCATCATGAATGAAGAATTTTCTCAGTTTCTGTGGTGTCCTAAGGGACACCCTGAATGAGTTAATTAATGTAATACAATATGATTAATGCAGCAGTACTTTGTATTATAGTACATTTGTATATTTGTGTATTTGTATTCTAGTGCATTCGCCTGTTTGGACATGCTAATGACTTGGATTTCCTCTGTGAATTTTTTTTGTCAATCATTAACTTAAAAATATGTCAAATCAGAAGTTTCCTGAACCTTTCTTTTATTCCCTCTAGCATAAACCTTGATAGTCATTTTTAAGAGTTTGGAAAACATCTCCCATCAGATCAATTCTGAAAAGTTTAAGAGCCACCTCTTTACATCAAATGAATCATATGCAGTGAGAAATATTGCTCTCAGTACTTCCATCTGTCTCCTCCCAACAAAATGTTCCACAGTGCTAGACTCGTGGTGCCCCTGTCTCTAGCAGCTGTGGGAATGCACATCTCTGTCCTGAAAACTGCTGTGCAGTTCTTCCCTGGCACAGGGACTGCATCAGCAGGAGCACACAATCCCATCTTCCTACACCTGAGTGTTTGCCATCTGTGTCAGCACTCAGCCAGTGCCTCACCTGTGTGCCACACACCATCCTCCACTCACTCACCTCCAGAAAATCAACCCTTACACCTTTCCTGCAGCTGTCCTAAGAAATTACAGTTTCCTTCTGACATGTTGCTCAGCTCCAAAGCAACAGGATTAATTCTGCTTTTCTCAGCAAGAACAGGAGAGACATCAGTGTCAGGTACTGCTGCAAACACAAATAGGTGAAGTGTCTCTGTGTAAACTTCTTCATTTTTCCCCTTGGAAGTCCTCGCCTGCCTCCTGGAAATTTTCTCTTCATCTTCCCAATATCTATGTTTGTGATATATTTCTGTGTGTGTGTACATATATGTATATATCCAGAGAAAGAGACATATAGTGTTTGTTTATATATGTGTGTGTGTGCCCACGTGTGTAGCTGCCTGTCTCTTGTTTGCCCTTTTTTGTTTCTATGTCTTTCTCATATATTGCTTTGATGGTATGGGGCTAGGGTGGGTATCTGACTCAATAACTCTGTCTTCACCAATTCCTTGTTGTAGACTATTGGGGAGAGTCTTATTACAGTGACCTCATCGACTTGCATCTGGGTGGTATGTATGGCTGAACCTCCTGCTGACACTAACCCTGCTGACACTCCTCCCCACCCTCCCTTCACCTACTTCTCCCATCCTTGGCTCACAAACAAGAAGAAACCGCCCTTGCACATGACT